AGAGAGAGTGGGAGAGAGAGAATCCCAAAAAGGCTCTGCACTGTCAGCGTAGAACCTGACGCGGGGCTCGAACACACGAACTGTGAGATCATGACCTGAGCTGAAGTCGGACGCTTAACTGAGCCACCCAGGCACCCCTCATCACTATTCTCATCTCCCTGAACCCTAGCCTTTCAAATCTCCCAGGTCCACCCCTGCCGTGGTCATGCTTTCAGACCCTCTCTGTCCCTGGAGATATGAAGGTAAGAGTGAAATCCCGGGGAAGTGTAGAAAGTTTGGGGTGCACCTTCCTGCCAATCCCCACTTCCCAAGGAAATCCGGCCGAGTAGGGGGTGAGTGAGAGGGGCTTCTTTGTCCCTTTCCTACAGGGCCCACTGTAGGCCCCAGGCCAGCTCAGGAAAGGGGTGCCTCCTCATATCAGCCCTGAGCTAGTAGAGACTTTCCTCCGTCTCTTATGGTGACCTCCGTGAACACCTGCTGCTCTCGCCGGAGGCAGTCAAAACCACGGACCACCTCCCTCCCGCTACTGCCCATGCTCTCCACAGGAAGTGACCACCTGGGAGACCTGACTGCAGAATGGTGATGCAGAAGTCTGTAGCATTTACTTCTCTTTACTGCCCTCTTTCCTGAATGTCTTAGGAAGCCCAGGGTCTACAGGAACCTCCGAGATTGTCTAATCCAACCCCCGGTGATAATATCCAGCTTCGGCTTAAATACCCACCGTGTAACCTACCAACGACTCTTTCATAACCCCCCCCCTCATTACCCCCGCTGTTCTACCTCCCTGTCCACCCCCTCTTCAGTCCACCCATACGGCCCCCATACTGTCCCCCAAACATGCCGTTAAGAATAGAAGTGATCTCCTTCCCAAGGAATCTGCTATTTACATTAAGAGTATAACAATGACCTCTTTCTGAAGGAATCTCCCCAGGGAGAGAGTAATGCTGAACCCAGGAGAGGGTAAGACCCAGAAGAGGGTAGGGCGTGTGCTTTGAAGGCAGGAGACTATGGCTATGAACTTTGGGCCCCAGCGAGGGCAGGAAAGTTAACCAGGTCTTCAATGATCTGTTTCCCTCATCTGTAAAATGGGGCTATGGAAAATGCACATTCAAATATAACCCATTTGGCTCTGGCTCTGGGACTCCACCTAGCCCTGTTCTTCTGAGAGGGGGTGAGAATGGAAGAGGTGACACTGGGTGGGGAAATGTTCAAGACTGGGGAAGCCAGAATCGTCCCCATGGATAATGAAGCCAGATGGATGGCAGCCACCAGGGGGCACCAAACCGCAGCTGGCCCTGGGACAGATTTGTCTCACCCACCTGGATCTCAGACCCTCCCAAGCTGCCTAGCAGTGAGCGCAGTCTCGACCTGTCTTTTTACAATTTTGCAACCTGTGTTTTTCTTGATTGAATTCTGTGGGACCTTCTTATCACATAATAACGGAGGCAGATCATTTAATACAGGGAGGGCTTCTGTAAGGAATAAGGCATGTAAGACAGGCTTGGGCACTGTAGGTAGTCAGTAACCAATAACTTAGTGATTAATAACAGTGGCCTTGCAGACCCTGTGACCCCGCTCAACATCAGACCAGGCCTGCTATGAGTTCCCTACTCCCAAGGACGCTGCACTCTTAACTGGTTCTCCAGGTTAGGATTCTTAGAAAAAAGTTTGAGAACTTGTCTTAGAGCCTCTTGTGCATGAAGGCTGTCATTTACTCACTGGCCTGGCACTGGTCCCCAGACAGCCTGCACCCTGACTGACACGAACACACGGATCTCCCCCGTCTTTGTGCCTAAGTGGGTCTCCTCTTCATTCCTGAGCTTGCATTTCTGTGGCTCTATACGATGACAAGTGGTCATATATCCTGACGTTTTTAGGTAGAGGAGTCTTTGTGGTTGGGGACATTTCATTTGCAGGGGCCACTGAATTAGACATTATCAAATATTTACTTACAATAATAACAATAAAAACAGGGGTGCCTGGGTGGTTCAGTCAGTTAAGCGCCAGACTTTGGCTCACGTCATGATCTCGCCGTTGGTGGGTTCGAGCCCCGCGTCGGGCTCTGTGCTGACAGCTCGGAGCCTGGAGCCTGCTTCGGATTCTGTCTCCCTCTCTCTCTGCCCCTCCCCCCCTCAAAAATAAATAAAAAACATTTAAAAAACTTAATAATAATAAAAAAAACTATTGAGCACTTATGACATGC